CACTACCCTATTCAAAAGCATCCACTGGCTTCACTCAGCATCAAAATCAAAGACTTTGCACTGGCTCTGTGATCTCATCACTGGCATCTCTAACCTCATTTCCTAGTGCTCTGCTCAATCACTCTGATCCATCCACACTGACCTCCTTACTGTTCTTCAACACATGAGGCATGCTCACACCTTAGGGACATTGCATTGACTGTTTCCTTGGCCTAGAGGCTCTTCCTCAGACAGCTACACAGTTTACATCCTCATATCCTTCATGTCTTTGCTTAAATCTCATGTTTTCAATGAGTATTCTCACTATTCTAGTTAAAATTGCAATCTACCACTCCTGATCTTATCTTGCTCTGTATTTTTCCCCAGCTCATTGATCATTTTCTAGCATAATATATAATTTACTCAGAATCTAAACATCAAAAAAGAATTTACAGATGTAGCCTTTGCACCTAGCACAGTACCTTGCACAAATATAGATGCTCAATCTATATTTCTTAAATTAATGAATTTGGAGTATGGATAACAGGGCTGTTCCATGGTACTACCATTACTACTATATAGTATTCTGTTTTGAATCCAGAAGTCAAATAGCAATATGGGTGAGAGCTATCACCTCCTCCTCCTTTCCTGTAACAAGAACTCCAGACAAGTTTGTCTTCTGGTACCTTTACACTTTGTTGTAGTCCCTTCCTGTCCTTTGTGCTGTCTCTCATGCTGTCCCCAAATTCTCTATTGTACAAGTTGAGGATCCCTTATCTAAAATGCCTGGGACCAGAAGTATTTTAGATTTTGGATTTTTTTTTTAAGATTTTGGAATATTTGCATACTGGTGACCATCCCAAATCTGAAAACCCAAAATCCAAAATGCTCCAATCATCTCCTTTGAACATCATTCAGTGCCCAAAATGTTTTGGATTTTGGAGGGTTTTTGGATTTGTGATGTTCAACCCATGACTGTCATTCATAGCATAGCAAATACTAGCATTCAGGGGGAAAAAGAAGTCTGTTAATCCAAATAAGACCCAGCTGGTCAAAATATGAGTTGGGGAAAGGAGATGTGAACATTTATAGGTAGTGATGAGGAAGGGGGATGGTAGAATTAGGCCAGACTAATACACAGACTGACCATAGATGCCTGGGAGCCAACTCCCAAGGTTACATCACCTAAGCAGTTCCTGATTTTCATAGCTTTCCTTACTTTACCTTTAAGGCCACAATTTTTCAGAAATATCTGACATTTCTTCCCCTACCCTCAGTGACTTTAAGACTGCTGATTCTCACAATGACAAGACATTTCTGACAATATGAACAAAGGGATGGTGTTACACAGAGCAATATGAGGGTTAGTCATTCCAAGAACAAGTTATTTCTAAATTAAGAATTTCTTGACTATCTCTTATATAAGAAAATGGTCGCTGTCTACAAAAATAATGGATTATTCAAATACTATCAACCCCCAGGTATAGTTTAATTCTCACAAAAGTTAACATTATTTATAAGGAATGTTTTCACACAAAAAGATTTTTAATTCCAAAACTCACATTCGACTAACTGGATGTTGTACAGCAGGTCATCATTATTCACTGACATATGCTCTCAAACCTACAGTCTCCAAAGCCCTAATTTATATTTTAATTAATCATGCACAAGTTAAATTTCAGCCAACCTGTCACTTAAGCAGTTGGCTTCATGTACATAAACCCAAAGTAATCATGATGGCTCTTAAAATCTGATGAAATGCTTGAATCTCTCTTTTCCAATATGAAGAGTGGACTTTCTGGTTGCTGGTAAGAAAAGGAAATGCTGCCGCTGCTCCTTTTTTTTGGAGACAGAGTTTCTCTTCTGTTGCCTGGGCTAGAGTACAGTGGCACAATATCAGCTCACTGTGACCTTCACCTCCAGGGTTCAAGTGATTCTCCTTCTTCAGCCTCCCGAGTAGCTGGGATTACAGGTGTCTGCCACCATGTCGTCTGGCTAATTTTTTGTGTCTTTTTAATAGAGATGCGGTTTCGCCATGTTGGCCAGGCTGGTCTCAAACTCCTGACCTCAGGTGATCCACCCACCTCAGCCTCTCAAAGTGCTGGGATTATAGGCAGGAGTCACCAAGCCCAGCTGCCACTGCTCATTTTTAAATGAAGGTATTGTGCTCCAGCCCAAAACCCTACCATGTCTCTTGTTTGGCCTTGAAAAGCGAAATGCTTTTAAGCTCTGGTCTGCTTTCTCTTCTGTCTGCTGGAGCATCCCAGATCATAGAAAATAAAAGATGAGCAAAGGTAGTCGGTATTATATAATTTAAGAATACTAAAAGGAATTCTCTTATTATCCTGACCTCACACTCCAAGAGTACAGAAACAGACACTCCTCTACACCAGAGTAACCTCAGTGCCTAGCAAAGAGCATAATCATAAACATTCAATGAATGCTTTCTGACTAGCTGACTATCCCAGGCAAATAAACAAATTAGCAAAGCTATATCAAAAGGTAAATGGAGGCCTTATTAAAATTCTCCATGCTATCAAGAGAATTATCTTCCTAAAACATAAATCACTCATTTATAATTAGTGAACATTTACTACAGGCTAGCCGGTAAACTAATCCATAGGAATTAGTAACATAGAACCTGCCTCATATGGATTACAATCTGGAAAAGGAGACAGATACAGTTTATTCTAAGACAATCTGACGGGTGTTAGAAGTTATGGGTCAAGTTTTATGAGAACACTGATTAAGAAGTGACTAATTCTGCATGGGTAAAGAGTCAGCTAAGACTTTACAGAGCAAGTAGCATTTGCTATTTAAGAATCAATAGGAGTTCACAAGATGAAAAAAGGAGAAGGTCGGGTAAGGATAGTTTTTTAGTTATAAGGAACTTCAGGAACAGATTCATAGCAATATCTACACCTAAGTTCAGGAAATGGCTAGTCACTGAATATGACTAGAATATAAGAAAGAATAACTATGAAGATAAGGCCAGAAAGAACAGTGCCAAATTGTGAAGAGCTGTCTCTGCCACATTTAGAAGTTTGAATTTCATCCTACAAATAAAGGTTTTTGACCAGTGAAGTGCCTCAGTTAGGTCTCTTTTAGAAAGCAACAGTAACAATAATATGAAAGATGGACTGAAGTAGAAATAATCAGAGACACAGATTAGCTTCACAGCTATTTCACTGGTTTAAGCAAATGACGTAAGATATGCCTTGAATATTTATTCATGTCCATAAAAAATTCCAATAGCCATTGTTTAGAAAATAAAATTCTTAATCCAAGCACAGTGGCACATGCCTGTATTCCCAACTACTTGGGAAAGTGAGGTGGGAGGATCACTTCGGCCCAGGAGTTTGTGACTAGTCTGGGTAACACAGTGAGAATCCATCTCAAAATAAAAAATAAATAAATAAAAATATGATTCTAACTCTTTAACACAGATTCAAAGCCTGTGACAATCTAAAGTACACATACCTTCCCAACTTCATTTCCTGTCCCTTCTTTTCCCATCTTACAACCCAGCCACATTAGACTACGAACCATTTCTTCTTTTATATATATTCACACTGCCACATCTTTATTCTCACATTGTTTGTTACTTATGCAGAGAAAACCTTAATGAACTCCTACTCATCCTTCAAGGACCACGTTTAAAAAAAGGATATATCTACAAAATCTTCCCTGAGTCCACCTCTCCCAAGGCAAAACTTAATAATACTTTCCTCTAGGCTTTCACATCCCATCATTCATACTACTAATACAGTACTTACCACATTACATTTTTAGCTATCCATTTATCTATCTCTTCTGCTAGAATGTCTGAGATAAGACCAATCATTTACAAATGAAATTATACAAACAAGATTAAGAAATGAATCTCTAAATATACATATATACACATTTTTCTTTACCTGGTAAAACTTGAATTTGAACCCAAGAATATGACACAGTGTTTGCGGTTCACACATACTCATGTAAGATTCTAACAAAGACATAAAGAAGTCATCGTGTTCTGGCCTGCATTCAAACACTTCTAGAATGATATCCAAAACTCTATTGGGATCCAGATTAAAGCATCCTGCAACAGATGAGACATATAAAAATTTTAAAAGGATTATACATCATCATTGCTATTAATTTTGAAGCCATTAATTTTCAGGGATAACTCATATAGCAAGATAAAAATATTTTTAAAAACAACTTCCTTTACAAATTTGCTTCCCCTCACACATTTTTACAGATGAGAATGTGACTTTCCCAGAATCACAGAATGGGTTAATGACAGATCTGGGTCAGTACAGTCCAGATCTGTGATACCAGTCAAATAAATGTTCCTCTATGCCACATTTGGCCTCATCAGTTCCTGATTAGTCAGGCTAGTGAAAACAGGTCCACGTTATTAATTCTTAGAAAAACATGAAAATTAAACAATGCATTTTACAAATTAAGCAACTAAAGGGTTTTTTTAAATGCTTTAGGCAGAAGTATTTGGAATGTTGATAAACAGCTAAAAGTCCAGGTTCACAAAAGTAGACCGTCATTTTTTTTTTTTTCTTTTTTGCCAATCAGTTTGAGCTTATAAGGTTGCTCAGGTTAGCCTTGAACTCTTGACCTCGCCTTCGCAAGTGCCACGACCTCCGGCGGGAGCCACTTTGGAGCCCTACCGTCATTTTTTATCTTACGTATACTACGGAACTATAAATATAATTATACCACTGATTAATAACCATGGCTTTTAGTAACATTCTAAAGGGAAAAGTGGTATGCTATTGATACTAATAGATCAAAGAATACCAAGGGAGTTGGAGGCTCCTGGTTTATGTCAGCTTCCTCATGCCTTTCATCAAGCTGAATGGGATTCTAGTATTTTAAAATATGTATATTTCAGAAGAGCAGCCTCCGCAGCTATGACCACAGTGGGAAAGCACCGCCGGGCAGGCCCCGCTGTGGCCGGACCAGGAATGGAGGAGAGGACGCGGTCAAGGAGGTTTTGAAACGTGAATCATACACTTATCCTCGCTGCCCTTTGCCTGGGATTAGCCTCAGCTGCTCTAACATTCGATCACAGTTTAGAGGCACAGTGGATCAAGTGGAAGGCGATGCACAACAGATTATACGGCATGAAGAATGGAGGAGAGCAGTGTGGGAGAAGAACATGAAGATGATTGAACTGCACAATCACGAACACAACCAAGGGAAACACAGCTTCACAATGGCTGTGAATGCCTTTGAAGACATGACCAATGAAAAATTCAGGCAGGTGATGAATGGCTTTCAAAACCGTAAGCCCACGAACTGGAAGGCGTTCCAGGAACCTCTGTTTCATGAGGGCCCCAGATCTGTGGATTGGAGAGAGAGAGGCTACGTGACTCCTGTGAAGAATCAGGGTCAGTGTGGTTCTTGTTGGGCTTTTAGCGCGACTGGTGCTCTTGAAGGACAGATGTGCCGGAAAACTGGGAAACTTGTCTCACTGAGTGAACAGAATCTGGTAGACTGCTATGGGCCTCAAGGCAATCAGGGCTGCGATGGTGGCCTAATGGATTATGCCTTCCAGTATGTGTTCAGGAGAATGGAGGCCTGGACTCTGAGGAATCCTATCCATATGAGGCAACAGAAGAATCCTGTAAGTACAATCCGGAGTATTCTGTTGTTAATGACGCTGGCTTTGTGGACATCCCTGAGCTAGAGAAGGCCCTGATGAAGGCAGTTGCAACTGTGGGGCCCATTTCTGTTGCTATTGATGCAAGTCATGAATCCTTCCAGTTTTATAAAGGAGGCATTTATTTTGAGCCAGAATGTAGCAGTGAAGACATGGATCATGGTGTACTGGTGGTTGGCTATGCATTTGAAAGAACAGGATCAGATAACAGTAAATATTGGCTGGTGAAGAACAGCTGGGGTGAAGAATGGGGCATGGATGGCTACATAAAGATGGCCAAAGACCGGAAAAACCATTGTAGAACTGCCTCAGCAGCCAGCTACCCCACTGTATGAGCTGATAGACAGAGATGAGGAAGGACTTGACTGGGGATGGCGCATGCATGGGAGTTCATCTCAATCTTCCAGCCCCTGCTGTGACAGATACACACTCGAATCATTGAAGATCCAAGTGTGATTTGAATTCTGTGATATTTTCACACGGGTAAATGTTACCTCTATTTTAATTACTGCTATAAACAGGTTTATATTATTGATTCACTTACTGACTTTGCATTTTCGTTTTTAAAAGATGTGTAAATTTTTACCTGTTTAAATAAATGTAATTTCAAATATAACAAAAAATAAATAAAAAGGGAGAGATTCAAGATGGCGCAGTAAGAACAACTCAGGATCGCAGCTCTCAGTGAATGCTCAGAGGGTGAGTCAAAGCCGCATTTCCAGACGGATCTTTGTTGCCCAGAGAACGGGGAAAGTCCCAGGAGTAGGAAAGACACAGGACGCAAGTGCAGCTGGTTTGGCTGTTGCGGCCGCTTAGGCCAGCGCCACAGTGCAGGCACTCCCCAACAATCCACACAAAACACACAGGCAAGGGTGCCCTGCTAAACTGGCAATCTGAGATTTGGGAGGGCAGATTAGCATAACCATCTGATTAAACAGGACTTGGACAGTGAGCCAGACCAGGAGATTCCTGGAAAGTGGCGTTTGAGCCAGCGCAGTGGCTAGCTGCATGGGAAATCACACAGATCCCGGTGCTCTAACAGCGGGTGACCGAAACAACTGGGAGAGAGCCATCCGTTCCACTTAAAAAAAAAAAAAGAAAGGCGCTCTGAGGCAGGGAGCCAGGCGAGCAGGCTGAGCGGGTTTCACCCCCACAGGGACAAACAAAACGGCAACTTGAAACGCTCCGGGCGCAGAGTTTCACTGCGAGCACAGCTGAACCCAGGACGGTGCAGCTCAGTGGGGAAGGGGCGTTCGCCATTACCGAGGATATCCGCCTCTACGGAGGTACACTCCCATTGCTGACGCAGCCTGCTGTTGCTGAGGCAACCCGCCATAACAGAGAGACTCCGCTGCAGGGCGGAGCTGGTGGCAGCAGGGCAAAGCCTGCCGTGGAGCCCACGACTGCTGGGCAGAGCCCGCAGCAACAGGCCGACACCACATCAAAAGGGCAGAGCCTTGGCAGGCAAATAGTGACTAGACTGCCTCCTAGCTGGGCAGGATAGTGCCACGCACACTCAGAAAGAAAGCCCCAAGCCCCCGAGACAGAGCATCTGAGGAAAAAAAGGGGTTTTAAGAGTTGTGCTGCAGCAGACTTAAACGCACCTGCCTAACAGCCCTGAATGAACAACGGAGCTCACAGCTCAGCACTTCAGCTCCTATAAAGTACAGACTGTCTCCTCAAGCAGCTCCCTGACCCCTGTATATCCAGAGTCACCTCAAAAAGGACTGATCAGACTGACATTAGGCAGGCACCATTCTGGGACAAAGATAGCAGAAGAAACTGGTAGCATCCCTCACCGTTCTGCAGCTGCTACAGGTGTACCCCAGACAAGCAGGGCCTGGAGTGGACCTCAGCAGTCGTACAGCAGAGGGGCTAGACTGGTAGAAGGAAAACCAAGTAACAGAAAGACCTCTTCATCAACAATCTGGGCATCCACTCAGAGACCCAATCGAAAAGTCAGCAACTACTCAGACGACAGGTGGATAAATCCACAAAGACGGGAAGAAACCAGCGCAAAAAGGAGGAAAACACCCAAAACCAGAACACCTCGCCTCCTACAAAGGAACAAAATTCCTCACCAGCAAGGGAACAAAGCTGGATGGAGAATGACTGTGATGAAATGATGAAATTCGACTTCAGAAGGTGGGTAATGAGAAACTTCTGTGAGCTAAAAGAACACATTCGAAATCAATGCAAAGAAACTAAGAACCTTGAAAAAAGATTTGAAAAAAGATTCGAGGAAATGATAACAAGAATGGTAACTTAGAGAGGAATATGAATGAATTGAAGGAGCTGAAAAACACAATACGAGAACTTCGCGAAGCATGCACAAGTTTCAACAGCCGAATTGACCAAGCAGAAGAAAGAATATCAGAAGTCGAAGATCAACTCAATGAAATAAAACAAGAAACCAAGATTAGAGAAAAAAGCACAAAAAGCAATGAACAAAGTCTCCAAGAAATGTGGGAATATGTGAAGAGACCTAACCTACATTTGATAGGTGTACCAGAAGGGGACGAAGAGAATGAATCGAAGCTGGAAAATACTCTTCAGGATATGATCCAGGAAAATTCCCCCCACCTAGCAAGGCAGGCCAACTCTCAAATTCAGGAAATACAGAGAACACCACAAAGATATTCCACAAGAAGAGCGACCCCAAGGCACATAATTGTCAGATTCACCAGGGTTGAAATAAAGAAGAAAATACTAAGGGCAGCCAGAGAAAAAGGACGGGTCATCCACAAAGTGAAGCCCATCAGACTCACAGCAGATCTCTCGACAGAAACTCTACAAGCCAGAAGAGAGTGGGGGCCAATATTCAACATCCTTAAAGAAAAGAACTTTCAACCCAGAATTTCATATGCAGCCCAACTAAGCTTCAGAAGTGAAGGAAAAATAAAATCCTTTGCGAACAAGCAAGTACTCAGAGATTTTGTCACCACCAGGCCTGCTTTACAACAGCTCCTGAAAGAGGCACTACACATAGAAAGGAACAACCAGTACCAGCCATTCCAAAATCACACTAAATGCTAAAGAGCATCAACATAATGAAGAATCTACATCAACTAACGGGCAAAACAGCCAGCTAGCATCAAAATGGCAGTAGCAAATTCACACATAACAATATTAACCCTAAATATAAATGGACTAAATGCACCAATCGAAAGACACAGACTGGCAAACTGGATAAAAAACCAAAACCCATCGGTGTGCTGTATCCAGGAAACCCATCTCACATGTAAGAATACAAAAAGGCTCAAAATAAAGGGATGGAGGAAGACTTACCAAGCAAATGGAGAGCAAAAAAAAGCAGGAGTCGCAATCCTCATCTCTGATAAAATAGACTTTAAAGCAACAAAGATCAAAAGAGACAAAGAAGGTCATTACATAATGGTAAAAAGATCGGTACAACAAGAAGAGCTAACGATCCTAAACATATATGGACCCAATACAGCAGCACCCAGATACATAAGGCAAGTTCTTAATGACTTACAAAGAGACTTAGACTCCCACACAATAATAGTGGGAGACTTTAACACTCCACTGTCAATATTAGACAGATCAACCAGACAGAAAATCAACAAGGATATCCAGGGCTTGAACTCAGACCTGGAGCAAGCAAACCTGATAGACATTTACAGAACTCTCCACCCCAAATCCACAGAATATACATTCTTCTCAGCACCACATCACACCTACTCTAAAATTGACCACATAATTGGAAGTAAAGCACTCCTCAACAAATGCAAAACAACTGAAATCATAACAAACAGTCTCTCAGACCATAGTGCAATCAAGTTAGAACTCAGAATTCAGAAACCTACCCAGAACCGCACAGCTTCATGGAAACTGAACAACTGGCTCTTGAATGTTGACTGTATAAACAATGAAATGAAGGCAAAAATAAAGAAGTTCTTCAAAACCAATGAGAACAAAGACACAACATGCCAGAATCTCTAGGACACATTTAAAGCAGTCTCTAGAGGAAAATATATAGCAGTAAGTGCCCATATGAGGAGAATGGAGAGATCCAAAATTGACACCCTATCATCAAAATTGAAAGAGCTAAAGGAGCAAGATCAAAAAAACTCAAAACCTAGCAGAAGATAAGAAATAATTAAGATCAGAGCTGAAATGAAGGAGACAGAGACACGAAAAACCCATCAAAAAAAATCAATAAATCCAAGAGCTGGTTTTTTTAAAAGATCAACAAAATAGACAAACCACTAGCCAGATTGATAAAAAAGAAAAGAGAGAACAACCAAAAAGATGCAATAAAAAATGATAAAGGGGAAATCACCACAGATTCCACAGAAATTCAAACCAACATCAGAGAATATTACAAACAACTCTATGCACATAAACTAGTAAACCTGGAAGAAATGGATAAATTCCTGGACTCCTGTGTCCTCCCAAGCCTAAACCAGGAGGAAGCTGAAACTACGAATAGACCAATAACAAGGTCTGAAGTCAAGGCAGCAATTAAGAGTCTACCACAGAAAAAAAAGCCCAGGTCCAGATGGGTTCACAGCCGAATTCTACCAGACACACAAAGAGGAGCTGGTACCATTCCTTCTGAAACTATTCCAAATAATCCAAAAAGAGGGAATCCTTCCCAAATCATTTTATAAGACCGACATCATCCTGATACCAAAACCCGGCAGACACCCAACAAGAAAAGAAAACTTCAGGCCAATATCCATGATGAACATAGATGCAAAAATCTTCAATGAAATATTGGCAAGCCGATTGCAACAGCAAATCAAAAAACTTATTCATCATGATCAAGTAGGATTCATCCCGGGGATGCAAGGCTGGTTCAACATATGCAAGTCTATAAATGTCATTAACCACATAAACAGAACCAAAAACAAAAACCACATGATTATCTCAACTGACATAGAAAAGGCATTCAACAAAATTCAACAGCCCTTTATGCTAAAAACCCTCAATAAACTCGGTATCGATGGAACGTATCTCAAAGTAATAAAAGCTATTTATGACAAACCAACAGCCAATATCATACTGAATGGGCAAAAACTGGAAGCATTCCCTTTGAAATCCGGCACTAGACAAGGATGCCCTCTTTCACCACTCCTATTCAATATAGTACTGGAAGTTCTAGCCAGAGCAATCAGGCAAGAAAAAGAAATAAAGAGTATTCAAATAGGAAAGGTGGAAGCCAAATTGTCTCTATTTGCAGATGACATGATAGTATACCCAGAAGACCCCATCGCCTCAGCCCAAAAACACCTGAAACTGATAAGCAACTTCAGCAAAGTCTCAGGATATAAAATCAATGTGCAAAAATCACAAGCATTCCTCTACACCAATAACAGACTTAAAGAAAGCCAAATCAAGAACGAACTGCCATTCACAATTGCTACAAAAAGAATAAAATACCTAGGAATACAACTCACAAGTAACGTAAGGGACCTCTTCAAGGAAAACTATAAACCACTGTTCAACGAAGTAAGAGAGGACACAAACAGATGGAGAAATATTCCATGTTTATGGTTAGGAAGAATTAATATCGTGAAAATGGCTATACTGCCCAAAGTAATTTACAGAATCAATGCTATCCCCCTCAAGCTACCATTGACTTTCTT